GCAAGCTAATACGGCTTTTTTGGAAAGAAGTTTGAAGAGCACTCAAGGAACTAAAAGTAGACCTACTGTTTGATCCTGCAATCCCCCACTAGGTATTTACCCAGATGATCAAAAGTCATTTTACAACAAAGACATTTACACCAGAATGTTTACTGAAGCCCAATTCATAATCGCCAAGTCACGGAAGCAACCCAAGTGCCCATCCACCCTTGAATGGATTAACAAATTGTGGTATATGTACACCATGGAATACTATGCAGCCATGAAAAAGATGGAGACTTCACATCTTTTCTGTTTACCTGGATGGAGCTGGAACATATTCTTCTTAGTAAAGTATCTCAAGAAAGGGAAAGAAAGTATCCAATGTACTCGATACTACTATAAAATCAGTATACATCACCTACACACTCATAGGAATGGTAAAATGTAACTATAGTCCAGAAAGAAGGATGGAGGAGGAGAGAGGGGAGTGGAAGGGGGAGGTTAGGAGGAGGGAGGGTTTTGGGGGGGATCCAACCTAATGTGCATAACGCAATGATACATTTCTAAACTATTAAGAATAGAATATGAGTGTTTTTTCCACAACCAATAAGTAAGCAAGGAGATGGTTATATTCATCAGTTAGATGTAAGCATTCCACATTGTATATCAAATCAGCACATTGTACCCCATAAATGCATTAATGTACACAGGTATGATTTAATAAAGAAATAAAAAATATAAAACAAAACGAAAAGAATGTTTGTAAATGAACAACTAAAGTCTCCATAAATTTTCAGTGAACTGAACGGGTAGCTGAAGGAAGCTGATATACCGTTGTCCACACCGGACTGAACAGCAGAGACGTTTCTCACCTTACCACGTGGCGGTGTGCCCGTCCTTATACAACTGAAAAGATCTGAGGTTGAAAATGCACTCAATGTGCCTAAGCTCTAGCAGGGCCCAGGCACCTAACCAAGCCGATTTATAATAAAGTGTTACATATCTCATGTAGGTTATGGACTACTATACTGAAAGTGAAAAATAAAACCATCATTGAGTTTCTACTAAAGGCCTATGTCTCTTTCACACCAGCATAAAGTATATACATCATAAGTCAAGGGTCAGGTGTGGTGGCTCATGCCTACAATCCCCACAGTCTGGGAGGCCGAGGCAGGTGGCTTCCTGAGCTCCGGAGTTGGAGACCAGCCTGAGGAAAAGCAAGACCCCATCTCTACAAAAAATAGAAAAATTAGCCATGTGTGGTGGCAGGTGCCTCTAGTCCCAGCTACTTGGGAGGCTGAGGCAGGAGGATCGCTTGAGCTCAGGAGTTTGAGTCTAGCCTAAGCAAGAGTGAGACCTCATTTTTAAAAAATAAATAGCTTGATGATATGGTGGGTGCCTGTAATCCCAGCTACTTGGGAGACTGAGGCAAGAGGACCGCTTGATCTCAAGAGTTTGAGGTTGCTGTAAGTTGTGATGATGCCACAGCACTCTACCCAGGGTGACAGAGTGAGACTTTGTCTCAAAAAATAAAAAAATTAAAAAAAAGAAAGAGGGCAGTGCCTGTGGTTCACTGGGTAGGGTGCCGGCCTCATATACTGAGGGTGGAGGGTTTGAACCTGCCCTCGGCCAAACTGCCACAACAACAACAACAACAACAAATTAGCATTCTAGGGGGCGCCTGTAGTCCCAGCTACTAGAGAGGCTGAGGTAAGAGAATGGGTTAAGCCTAGGAGTTGAGGTTGCTGTGAGCTGTGATGCCACAGCACTCTACTGAGGGTGATAAAGTGAGACTCTGTCTCTTAAAAAAAAAAAATCATAAATCAAACAATCGTAAGTCAGAAACTATTTGTGCATTACACATTATAGGGGTTGGATTGGCCAAGGTGATAGGGTTAACCTCCGGCTGTTACCACCACATGCGGCTAGGAAGAGGCCCTCTTAGAGGTACTTTTCTGGGAGCTGAATTTACTTGCTACTGGACATTTCTGCAAACACGACGTCAGCCCTGAGCCAACTTGGGGCCCAACATCTCCCTACAAACAAAAGCAGCCGAATGCATTTGCCAAGTGGTCCAGACAGAATGAGAGCTAAGGACAGCACAGAGTGTCAGAAAATCCTCACAGCAGATTCAGGGCTGTGCACGCCCATGACCAAGCTACTCCCACGGTAATAACACCCATGTCCTCAATCTGGATAAACAGGAAATGCCGCTCCAGAAACAGGGAAAAGAAATCTTCCAGTTCCTAACGTCTCACTCCTGAGATGCCCCGGTTATCGCATCCTCGAGAATCTCTATGTTAAAATGAACAAAGGAACTTAATCGCTGGCCCAATGCTGTCCACTTCGTGACCTGATTAGAGTCCCTTGACTAGGTCCTCCGTCCTGGACTGCAGGAGAGGAAGCTTTCAAGTTCATTTTCAAGTTCGGGGCGTAAACAACTCAGATGATTCTCATTTGCAGGAAGCAGAAACACCGTCTGTGAAAAGTTCTAAAACTCCAAACCAATGCTGCCCCTTCAGCGAGACACCGTGTCCAGAAAGCCACATCCCAGGGGGGTGAAGTTGTTTGGACTCTGTTTTGACCATATGGAAACGGTCAGAACTAATTTTTAAAGTCAGAAACAAATCGTGCAAATTGCCCACAGGCCCAGTCGTTCTTAAATGACGGCAGAAAAGAGAGTACTTTGGACGGCCTGAGACAGACCCAGGTAGCATCAGAGTGCTGTTGGCTGATGCCCTGGCTTTCTGGATCTAATTAATTCCCAGACCTCCAACTGGGTCACCCACCTTCTTTCCCTTTTCCCTCAGTCTCTTTGCTAATAGATGTTTATTTCCCAGAGACTCCTTTAGAGGGAGTTAGGCTTTTTCCTTTTTCTTTAAAGCTACACGAGAACAGCTCAGGCCCTCAGATCTCTCCCTCAAAGCCCAGGGCCTCTTACCTTGCACGTGCAGCAGAAAATACAGGAAGATGAGACCGGGCAGTCCCCACCGGGTCTCCATTCTCTTCTCCAGGAGGACAGCGCCTCAGTGGACGGCCCAGCCCGGCGGCAGTGGGTTGTGAGTTCCAGCCGCCCCACCCTCCCGCTGTGGGCTCCTGTGCTCCCAGCTTGGAAGGAGGAGAGGCGATGTCTTCAAGTGGAAACTATTAACCCAACTGTCGTGTCTTTGCCAAAAAGAAATGGGGCCCAAACTCAGACTCCCAAGTTCACAGCCAGGAGCCCCTGGGACAAGTGCGTGCACGCTCTGTGACGTCCCAGACACAGCCTCCGTGGGCGGCCTCTGCCTCTCCACGGCACGGAGCAGGATGGGGAAGCCAGAGAGACTGCCAAATTCCAACCAGCACCCAACTGCTGGAAGGAGGCACACCCATCCGGCAACCCTGCTTGCTGTGGGCGTGGGATCTCCAGCAAATTCAAAGGCGCCAGCCCTGAACGCAGGGGAAAAGTTACCACCCAGCTCTGGTCCCTCCTCCAAACCCTCCTGCCTTGATGCCAGGCACTAATGCCAACATCTGTGCATAGACCTAAGTTTAAATCTTCCCTTTGGCAACCAGACAACTGTGATTTCCCAGGGCCCCTAATTGTCACTTATCATTGAGTTTCTAGTAAAGATATGCGTCTTTTCCACACCAGCGTAAAGTATAAACATCATATATCAAGGATCAGGTGTGGTGGCTCATGCCTATAATCCCAGCAGTCTGGGAGGCCAAGGCAGGTGGCTTCTAAGCTCAGGAGTTAGAGACCAGCCTGAATAAAAGCAAGACCCCGTCTCTACAAAAAATAGAAAAACTAGCCAGGCAT